TACAATCTGGTTAGTACTTTCTTTCTTTACTTCCCAACCTCTTTATCAACCACGGATTTCCTAAAGTTTTTTTGACTTTCGAGTTTCGCAAATTTTTTAAACCAGCTACTTCTTTTTTACTTGATCGATTCTGGTTCATATACAGCAGTCAATGGAGACTTTATGTTGCTAGGCAGACGAGGATACTGTGGTTTAAAAACAATCAGTAAAATCATTTTTGTATCTCAAAAAAATTTTTGTTTATTTAGGTGCCACCAAATGCGAACATATTCGCTCGAAGTCCTTACGGACAATACATGAAAGCGTTGTGGAGGACATTTTTACTGTTCGGCGGTGCTTGGGCTCTGGCCAAAGTTTATGAGTTGACTGTACCCGAAGAGTATCGTCTTCATTATAAATATCGTGAGAAACACGATGAACATGCCAAACACTAGGGTGCACAGTTTTTGTTCAGACGTTTTGTATTGTTTAGATTGTTTTTCCGCAAACGATTTGAAACGCAGTTGTATAGGTGATATAATGTCAGTAAAGTTCTAATACGCTTTGAACTAATAGTTCAACTAGTCCGTGTTATCGTCAGATTTTTCCTTTGCTTTTGAAACATTGAAATCGCTTACTTCATGTCGTGTATTTGAGGGATTATGCATAGTAAAGTGCACGTAATTGATGCTGATAGCATCATAGACAGCAGTCTAAATATTAATCCAATCAACTTTTACAAATGACTACGTGCAAATATGAATGCTCCTCTGATATTTTCTCGATGAATATCACTGCTGCTAAATCGTATTATTTTGCCACATGCAAAGTGTGCAGTATTTGAATCACTGTCAGCTTCGAACAGCGCCGATCGTCTTGAATCCCGTGTCCATACTTTATTAGCCGTCGATTTGTAAGTGCTCGAAAGGGGTATTGAGAACGTATTAACTCTTGTGTTCGACTTGTGAAAAATGTATTCATTTTCCTCTGTTCAGTGTGTGAAAAAGTGAATGAAAGTTCTGAGAGAATTAATTCTGAAAACTTTTCACTTCTTGGAAGCGATATTTTTTAATAGAATTAGTGTGAAGCATGTAACAGAAAAGAAATTTTTAAATTCACTGGAAGCATGATGTGCCTAATGCGGATTTGTTGAAAGCGATATCGGACAGTCGAAATAATACGAACAGGTAACAAAATGAGTTTATTCGACAAACGGATGAACAATAAAGCATTTTCAGTAACATACTGTTACTACTGCTGCAAATCGTTCTTTTGATTGTTGCCTCCCAGCTTAATTATGGGATTTTAATACCGTGGAGTTTATAATCTCGTCTATCAGCAGAAAAAATGTGCTCCTAAACGTTCTGATCACGTTGTCGGATTCATGCTTGACTGTTATTGAAACTCGATTACAGTTATGGATAACGGGTTTTTGTGTAGATGTTAGACTTGGCTTATACTGAGAATCACGGAAATGAGGGTGATTGATTGGAAGTAATTTAACATCAATTTGAAATATTTAGCAAGCCATCTGCCTTTCAAAGATTTCTAATTCGAGCTCTTCATTTTGAAATAAATCAGATCGAATCATGTAAAACTTCTAAAATAATGAATGGAATCGAGATTGTCATATATTCAAGTAGTTATGTACAGTAAAGTGATATCATATTGATCGTGAGAGCATCATACACAATTGTCTAAATATTAATCGAATCAACGATGATCACGGTATGATCGATTAACGATCGAATCGCGTCCATGAAAGCGACTAAGTTGGTTACAGTGAATCCGTGTTTCGGGTCTTCCCCCGTATCGATGACTATATTGGCTCGCGTTTTTCGTATTGAACATGGCACACACCTAAAACATGCAAATATCTCTCTAAAATTTGCAGAGTTTTCAGTGGTACCGAACACACATAAACCTAAAAATTTCATAGGTATACACGTCTGAAAATTATTTGCGGAAGCAAGGCCCGGAGTAATCAATTCAAGTCAAACTCGTTGGCTCAAGAAGCACTGGAAATAAGCTTTACAGAGTCAATTTATTGATCAATTATGCACGATCGTGCAAATATATCATTGACATTCGTCGACCATCGATTAAGATTTCTCCTTTTGTGAGATGTTTCTGAGATGGGAAAATGAGATTACTTTTTTTNNNNAGCACTTCAATAGAATTCAACGGGATCGTTTTACTTTTCCTGCAAGGTAAACACCGCTCATTATTCCGTCAGGAAGATGATGCGTTTAGAAATGAATTAGAGGAATGAGAAAATTGTGTTTGATTTTTAGGAAGCAGTTGATCTATGCAGAAGTTTAATTTCATCCAATCGCCTGGAATCAGTTTTATGTGCTCTGCTTCATCTGTAACAGATGCCAGGCTAAAGTAGTACGACGACACCCAGTCTCCCCTTCAGATGGTATTATCCAATACTTTCGAAGGAAACCATCCACTATTCCGATAGTTCTTCATGAGTCTCACATAAATCCGTCAAGGTATATTGAAACACCGAAAGAGTATGAATGAAGTGATCCACTGTCAACCTGACCGACGACATGAGTCTAATTTTCAAGTGCAACGAGAAAATGCATGAAGTGATACGTGCCTGGATGGGAAATGATAATTCTTGATGGTAACACTATAATCGTCCAATGTTACGAATTCGTCTTCATAATGATCCATCATATTTTATCAAATTCAACCCTCAGCCACCCTAAATGAGATTTATCCTGAAACACCAAGTATGCATACTTGCAGAAGTGCTACATTTCAGTGCAAGTTCATACTGTGGTATAACAAAACACTTATTGTTAGCACGAGTACAATTGCATGGCGATGTGGAAAGGCTTAAAACATTCAAGTGTTCAAAAAATCCGTAAGGATCATTCTCAAACAGCTCATGCTAAAAACGTGATCAATTTAAGAATATGTCTCAAAATTAGATACCGCTATCATCCGTAATATTTGAAAAGAGCATATCATTCACTGTATCATATCATAACCATTCACAAAACATTGACAATGAGAACACATGCGATAATTTCACTAATAATTGTGAGAACAATTTCACTTCATTCTTGATAAAATGAACTGTGCAAAAATCATGAAAAATAGATTTTAATCTACATTGAATGGTGATTTGATCGAGGTCGGATCCATCGGAATAAGATTAAGGTAAGGTATGCGATCAATTCAGGACATAGGGCAAAATATTCTGATATCATTGAATGGCATTGAGTGAAGCAGATTCATGATCAAATGTCAACTGAATAATAATAGTTCCATGAATGCTAATTGTAAGAGAAATGAAGAGGCGTTTGTCAAATAACTTTCAAAGAAATGTTGAGGATCGCATCGAATCCGCTTAAGCACGATTATCATTTCCTTCAATGTTATATTGACTCATGTTCCTCTTTAGCTCAGCAGCCTCTCCGCCCAATCAACTGCTTATAGGATTCTTACTATAAAGATTTTTTAAAAGATTTCCAGACCATTCTATACCACTTACATGTTATCGTTAAAGGTTTTTAATGTTTACTGCTTACATGAATCAATTTAATACATTTTCGATGTTTGGCTAATCGTTTCCAACATAGAATTAATTAAATCTGCATCATATTGCGTTAACATCTTCGTCAGAGTAGCGGATGTTGATAAACTTTGCTTTCTGCAATTGATGAATGCCTTAGCGAATGGATAACGTTAAGAACTACTGGCAACGCTTTCTATTTTGATGATCTGTCATAGTGTGTTGCGAGGAGCGGGGAATTTCGTGGACTCCGTCTCCATTTCCCTCTCCCCGCCTCGAAAATTTTAATGGAGCCTGCATTTTTGTAGCCCCGACTGTCAAACTCATCCCTGACTTTTTCCATCCCTGAGTTCTCTGGTTTTCTTGAGGACCTCCGTTCCCCGAAAATTTTCGAGGAATTCCCTGAAATTTGAATAAACTGTGCTGATATTCTTTGCAATAAACAAAACTTAATATTATCGAGGACTGGAACGGATCAATCCGTTTTCCATTGATTACTATTATAAAACGTGCTTCAATTTACGACAAGCTCATCTCACAACCAAGCTACGCATCATACTCAGCTGTCGTTGAGGAGCGGGACTGGGACCCACCGCTCTGGCCGAATTGCTCACCAATGGGATTCACCCAGTCGAAAATTCGCCCTTAGATGAACACGGTCATGTGTGTTGTTCCTACTTAGATTGAATGAAATGGACTCAATTTATGTTGCAAGAACGAATGAAATGAAGCTGATGACAACTTGTACTTGTTCTGCACTAAAAGTGTCCTTTTGAGAATGTGCTTGAAAGTGGAAAAAAAATCAAATTTCAGGAAAACTAATTTTGCGTTTGTCCAATTTAGCCTAAGGCGAGGGAAATATG